TTTGCTACGAAGCTGTTTGAATCAATGTTGGGTTTTGACTCTTGATTGCTCTTACCAGCATTAGTTGCTGAGCTTCTTAACATTCATTCTGCCTGCCCGACTTTGACATGGATCTGAAAAGAGCTAAGCTCGCTGCTCGCAAGATTGGACCATTCGAGATTGTGAAAATCTTTTACACGAATGTGGCCAAGCTAAATCTTCCGCGAAGCATGGGTCGTCTGAGCTCCACGTTCAATGTGAACGTGTTGAGTCATTACGTTGAAAACCCGTCGCGGTTTAAGACTTGTCCTATCCCAAAGGCCTCAAGACTGATTATTGACGACGACACTGGCACAACGATGCACATCATCGAGAAGCTTCTTCGCTAGCGTCAATTCAATCGCAAACCTGAATGGCTTGTGAAATGGCACGGATTGCCAGATCACGAAGCAACCTGGGAGCGCGAAAAAGACATCCGCCATGTGTCGCATTGGAAGGTTCTCGTTTCCGACTTCAACAAGCGTCAACGCGAAGTCAAGTCCGGGAGGATGTAACGACGCACCAACGTCACAGCCAGCGATGGCCATGACGTTGGTACCAATGCGTCCTACTTTCTTCTATTTCTTTCCTACTTGTCTTTGCTGACTGCCAACTGTCTTCTTAAGTTGCCAATGAGCGGCCAGGTAGATACACGCCTGACCGGAAGGCAATCACCATGTTTGGACGAGTATTGCCAAACATGGAGCTTCAATGACAGTCATTCTTTTTCATTTGAATTCACTATGGAGATTCTGACCCGGTTCAAATGAACCGCGGTTCACTACTACGCTACGCTACTTCAAGATTCGACTCAAGGACTACTTAAAATCTAGTATAGTGAAATGCATATACTTACATAGGATACCAATGGAATGCTAACAAGCACTTCCTCGTAGCCGACAAACAACTTTCCATTTCAATCTCACTTTCCAATTTACCTTCTTCGAGGCACATCAAGTGCCTCCTACGCCTTACCTTCGAGTCCCCTTCGTTGGACTCTCGCCGCCTTCCTCCGCTTCGCTTCTCGCCACGCGACTCGTTCCTCGTCGCTGTTCCTCTGCGCCGTGCTCTCACCAGTCGTCACACAAGCAGCTTAAATCACTAAGTGTGAATATGTATTCTAACCGTCTGATTTCAGATTCAGAATTCGAGGATATTATAGTTCGTCTGATATAGAGCAGAACTTAGACGAACTTGTTTCTAGTATTCAAGTTCTTCTTTAACCCACGCATCATTTCAAGTTCTGGGGGCAGCTATGGAGAGAACGCTGACCTTAATGTTGCGGAACTAAAAGCAATTATGAAAAATCTCATTGTTCGCGATCGCCCGCAACAAACACAAGCTGCGGTTTGGGCAACTGATCTTGAAAAGTCCATCAAGAAGGTAGATGCTTCGACCCAAACAGAGGGTGGTCGTGTCTGGGCTTATCCATCTAGCAAGAAAAAAAAGACGGTCAAGACCTTTGCAATCTAATGCTTTGATGAATACATTGCCTATAGAGCAGAGCTTAGACGAAGTTAAGGTCTGCGACCTTAACAAAGTTATATCAGGTTATTGAATATTTTGGCCTCTAATTTTTTATACGAGTTTCATGATCAGAAATCTTAGTGCTAGCAGAGGCTAATTGACTTATCAAATCAGTAGGTGACGTTGATAAAGCATTGATTTTTTTCTGCTGTTCCAGTGCAAGTACATGAAGGTAGCAACATATCTTACTATAATCGACGCTGAGCTCAATGCCAGCTAGATCGACGGATGAATCCTCAACTACTAATGATTCATTTGAAAAAAAAGTTAATGACTGCTCCCAGATTATTCTTCAACAAATCTTGAGCTTTGTATCCTATTTGAAGTGGGACAGAACTATCTTGAGATTTGTATCGATATAGCTTTGGCCTGATAGAAAGCATTCCATTCGTTATTAAAGTATTATCAAGCGTATCGAAGAAATTATTTCTTCTTGCATCGGAGGTAGTGTAAACCCCTGCGCTGGCTAAAATAGCCCCCGTCGCTTGGAGAGCTACAGCCACACTAGATACGGGGCCAATCGTTGAAACCAAGCACCGTTTTTTAAAAAGTAAGATACACCGGTTCCAACCGAATCAATAGTTTGACTTACATTGACAGTTACCTGCAATCCTGCGTTAGGCGTTGCTGTGCCAATACCTACTCTTCCAGCATTTGTTCCTCCCAGAATCGTCAATCTTCGAGAATTATTGGTCATGAGAACGAAATCATTATTCGATAACGTTCCAAAATACGCTCCATTGGTGCTAGTAGAATTCGCTCCATTATGCAGCTGTAAACCAAAGTTAACAGGCGACGAAGAATTAGATGATTCGCAGAATATTGGCATATCGTAACTAGTGGTGCCATCATTGAATGCGTTAGAACATTTAATATACATATTCCCACTATTCAATGTTACTGAAGCAGATCCATACGTTCCATTAGTATAAGGCGTCGTTGAGTTAAAAATTAGTCGATTCTGAGAATTCACAGCTGTTAGCAATAGGTTACATCCATATGTAAATGATCCAGTAGAATTGCTATTGGCAACCAAATTTAGCGTATTAGTACTAGTATGGAATTGAGTTCCTTCACTCCCACCCCAGGCCTGTGTTCCTAGAAGGTATCCGTTAAACCACCCAGATTGATAATTCGTTGTGAAACCAACCAATTTATTATTAGCTCGAGTTATTTCTTTGTACTCGGCTGAACTAGTACCGCTCACCCCTGTTTGATCAACTCCTGAATAGTGTTAATAAAGGACTCAATTTTTGTATCGACTGAGTATAACCAAACCGCCGTCGTCGCTATCACGATAAATCGATACCAACTCCTTGTTCGCTGTTCCTCCGTAGAATCGAATGCAGTTTGAGCTGACTGACCCTAAAGGCATAATCCCCATTCCATTAGCGTCTAGTGTCATGGTATTAGAACCTTGAAACGTACCTAAGGTTATGACTTGGTTGTAATTTAATTGCGCCGCAGAAACACTGACCGTAGTGCCGCGTAGTTGAAGAGTTGTTGGGTTGATATTGAGCGTGGTTGCATTCATTTCTTGATTTCCGGATTTAGAAATCGTATCGCACGTCAGTGACGCTGTCACCAATCCGGTTGTTCCGGTAATAGTACCAGTGCATGTGAGATTACGAATTCCATTGAAATCTTTAGTCGGGTTAAGCACCACAGCTTGAGAGGCACCAGCTGCCCCTTCAGTGATGTTAATGTAATAATCTTGACTAAAAGTAGTGCCATTGAATTTCAAGCTTGGAATATTTAATCCTGCTCCGCCCATGTCTAGAGACAGATTTGATAGTATACCAACGGATGTGATATTTGATTGAGCACCAGTCATGATCGTACCGTAATATCCTGATGATGAATTAACAGCCCCAGCAACATCTAGTTCATAGGCTTGGGATTGAGTACCGATGCCGACATTACTCGCTGAATTAATACAAAAGGATGGGGCTAATCCGATAAAACCGATACGAAATAGATTATATGTTGTTGAAGCGTCAGCAGCGTGATAATAACTAATAAATGCTCTATTATAGTTTGCTGCATTTTTACCAAAAACTATATCTAAGGCTTGAGTAGCTAGCATTGATGTTTTCGTGAATGCAATATTTCCACCATCACATGTTAAAGAAGTCAGCGTACCAGCTGATGTAATAGTAGTCTGAGATGGTGTTGCAATAGTACCAATAATTGAAGTTGCTGTTAGGGTAGACAAACCCGTAAGAGATCGTGATGCACCAGTAAATATCAGGTTTCCTCCAATAGTAAGGCCAGATAAAGTTCCTACAGATGTAATGTTTGTTTGAGCAGCTGTTGATAGTGTTCCAGACAATGTGACTGCCGACAAAGACCCCGAAAGTGTTAGCGATACAATTCCACTTGTGATAGATCCGGTGCTGGATAGTACCAGTGCTTTCGAGTTTTGAGCAGTACCACCTGCAATCCCGAGAACGTAGTCCGGAGCTGACGTTATCGAAGACCCATTTACAGTCAAACTGGAGCAGCTGAGAGCTCCTATACCTGTGATATCTTTGTTAGCTCCTGGTACAAGAGCTACTCCTTGCGTTGCTGTGCCAGCCGTGATACCAGTAAGATATGTTAGTCGATAGTCGTTTCTTCCAAGATAAAGTGTCTGAGCGTAATCATAGGTTAGAAAGCTAAGGAAAGAAGAGTCGGTCAATATCTTTAGCGTGGTGTTGTCTATGTTATGCATCAGCTATATCAAGATTGACTTTTTATCTGCGAAAAAAAAATTAATTAGCTAAGTTCGGTTTCGGTGTTAGGTTCCCTTTCGACACTTTCGTTAAGTTCGTCTTTTGGCTTTCGCTTCCTGGAACGAATGTAATCTCTGTTCTTATCGTCGTAGCCTTTCTGGTACGCTAAGCGAGTCTCGCGCGTCTTCAGGTAGTAGCGCTTCTGAGCGGCTCTGATGCGCTCCTTGTGCAGTTGATACTGTTCAGGTGTGTATGTCATTGGACTTTATATTATACTAGAACATATTATTTGTCAGAAATAAAAAGAATTTTATTAATGCAGAATGCCGCAGCAAGAATCAGCTGAAATAACTCAAAGTAGGAATAGATCGAGCAACCTGGCTAGCCACAGCACGCGCCATCTCCAAGTCGGGACCTAACATACTGGCGATGTCATAATATCGTTCGATGCTCTCACGGATCCCACTACTCCCACTAGCCTCGCTGATGGACGGCAGCAACTGGGATAGCTTCTGACGCTTCACAGGTTTGTCAAAGCACGGAAGGCTGACCTCGGCACCTGCACTCGGTGACTGGTCAAGCAGAGTCCTAATTACCGCAAATGCTTCACCTGGCGCGATTAAGGTTGTAGTCTCTCAGGCTGATGACTCCTAAGAGCTCCTATCGACGGCGTTGAAGTCCCTGGTCGCGATATTGTTCTTGCTGGTCGCACGGATATGATTGTGCTGAGTGATATAGCCCAGAAGTTTCCACATTACTTGCCTCATTTGCCTGGAGTGAGGATGTTGATCGAAGTGAAAAAGGTGGTGACAACAGCGTCCGAGTTCCAGGCTTTGTCGGAATTGATTGCATTGGATATCATCGTTACGGAATCAGTGATGGCACTGCTCACGAACTTGACAAACCATTGGCAATTCTTTTGGGTCTCCAGGAAGAGCGACAACCGTGTCATCATGAGCTCTCGGTTCGTAGAACGCGAGTTCGACTCTGGCAGTGAGGACGAAGCCGAGTCCGAGAGCACGCACGATGCTCCTGTGGGCTCTGTGGGAGGGCACATCCCAGTGCCCAGTGAGCACATGGATGACCGCGTGCAGTCGCTCGCTAGTGATCAAGGTGATCACAGTCCCAGGACGTCTGTGTGCTTTAAGAGTCCAGCCGTCAAGGCTAAGGGCACTCCCAAAGTCGGTGGCGATGAGGAAGAGAATCCTCGCAAACGTCTCTCGCTTGCCGAGGGTCTTGCGCGTGCTAAGGCCTCTAAAGCCGAAGGCACCAAGCCCTCAAAGAAGCGTACAGCCTCTAAGTCTCTAGTCCGCGAGTGGAAGGAGACTTAGCACTCCTATCCGAGTATCTTCGACTCAGAGGAGGAGAAGGAGGAAGAAGAGGAGGAGGAGGGTGCTATCTCTGAGCCCCGCGAGGTCTCCAATGACCCCGACCAGCAGCAGGAGGATTTCCGAGCTGCCCAGCGTGTGCGTGGGGGTTCGGTGGTGGCACCCGTCTGCTAGGGAGCTGCCATCAACTTAAGAGGGTATTGGCCTCCCGAGGAGAGCTCTGGGGCTGACCTCTTCTTAGAACTTCTCGTCGCTTCTCGTGGCCTTGTGGGCGGCCACACTTCTAGGTGCATCTACGAACGTGCCATAGTTCAGAAAGAACAGTTGTTCGCTGACAACTTGGAGGCTGCTCGGTGTGTGCTTCTCGCGCCACACCGCATTCCCCTTAAGGACTTCACGACTTGTCGTAAGAAGCCCGAATCCCGGGGTGGTCTCTATCCTCTTTGGGGATACCCCTGGGTTATGCCCGATATATCTGCCACGTGGGGTTCTTGTGCGGACATGTTCTGGGCTTGGGTGGAGTCTCTTAAGTACTCACCCACGGAGTTACGGGAACTCCATGAAGATCTGCTGCTGTCCCGCATCCTGGGCCAGCGTGATCTGCGTGTGAGGTTTGCCCACTTGGTTAGCAAGCGCATGCAGCCAACGGTCATCATGAAGCGTGCGGCTTCCAGCGCTCACGATCAGCGCGGGTACGGAATGTATTCATCGTCCGTACCCCGTTCGGGCAAGAAGCTCCGGACTACTTATGAAGCTACCGCCGCTTCTGTTCCCAGATTGCGACGGCCTTCGGGCAGTCAATCAGGAGCCGTTCAATCGGCTTCCACGAGTTCTTGGAGTGGGCATAACCCCTCCACCTCACGAGGAGCTGTCGCTTACCGCGACGCCGTTGCTCCTGGAGGATCCGCTCGACGTGGAAGTGGACTTCTCCATTCCGGTCAAGCAGGGGCGGAGGTGCCCTCGTACGAGTATGAGTACTCGGCGCCTCCCGAACGCCCCTCTCGTCCGAGTGCTCCGACTGCGGGTCCGACACAGGGCCTTGAGGTTGACCGCCTCCGTCAACGTGTCCTCGTGCTCGAGATTGCACTTGCCCTTGGGACTGGCGGTGATGATGCCGCCCAGCCCGGGAATCAGTGTGAGCTCGCTCGTCTTGCGGGTCGCCTGGACCTGCTGGAGCGTAAGGTCGCGGGCCTGCATCTGCGGGTGGATCGCCGGGCCTCTTTGTCCGATCTGGACGAGGCCTTTCGCATGATCCGACGGATCGAGACTCTGTTGCCACGTCCGGAGCCGCCTGCGGCACACTCCCTGACGTACGCGTATGGTGCGTACTCGGCGTATGGCGCCGGGGTCCGTTCGTGACCGCAGCCTTGCCGCTCCGACCGAGGCTTGGGTGCTTGCTTCGACGCCGTCGTCGACGTCTGTGACCGGCCCTCGCTTCGAGGAGCTGGGTCAAGGTGGGTCTGCGAGTCAGCAACCCCCTGCGGATCAAAGTACCGCTTAAGACGTCCAACATAGAACGTCGGGGCATCGTCATTGACTTTGACAGGTCGATGGTGTACGACGCACCATGTCTGGCCAGGACTGCAAATAATCCGATGAAGCGGTGCGTCAGCTTGTTGCTGCCGACAGAGCTGATAGTGTCAAGAGGTACGTTCCTCGTGTCCAGCAACACTAAGTCCCCCACTTTAAATACACTTAAGTTTCCTCTTCCATGTTTGTCGGAGTACTCCTTTTGTTTATCGTGAGCCGCTGTCATGGCATCGCGAGCCCTGCTAACATCGCTCAGCTTGGTATCCATAAAGGATTCCACTTGTTTCCGCAGCGAAACTGGTCTCACATCCGAGACCTGGGAGGAAAGGGCTTTCCGAGCCTCTCCCCCACTTAGAATAGAGGAGTCAGTGTCTCCTCGAAGAGTGAGAGGCACTCTGGGGTGGCGGAAGCCGTTCAAGTAGAACGGCGTGAGCCCCGTGGACGCGTGCACCGCGTTGTTGAGCGCAAACCCAACAACTGGAAGCTGCGTCGACCACGTACGTGGTGCTGCCGCGCACACACTGCGCAGAGTGTCCTCGAGCACTCTATTAACGCGCTCTGACCGTCTGTCTGCGGATGGTCCGTTCTGGACATCTGCAGACGAGTTCCCAGCAAAGGAAATAGCCTTTTTTAAACACAGCCGTGAGCCGCGAGTCTCGGTCCGAAACAATCGTCTCCGGGAGTCCGTTATAGCGGAACACGCCATCGACGAACGACCTTGCGGTTTGTTCGCCCGTAACAATGACGAGAACCGGAGCAAAATGTACCAGCTTGCTCAGCCGACACACGAACACCAAAATCCCGGTGTTGCCGTGTCCGTCGGCGGGAAGCCCAAAGATGAAGTCAAGACTCAATGACTGCCAACAGTCAGCCGATACGGGCATGCTCTGTAGTGGAGCCGAAGAGTGTCCTGCGGGTTCGACCCGCTGACATATTTCGCATGTCTTAACGTACCGGGCGAACCACTTGTACGTGTAGGCCCACCAGAAAGACTGAAAGACCGACAGAAAGGTCTTCTCGCGGCCCAAGTGGCCGCTGGAGAGCGCGTCGTGCGCCTCCGCAAGGATATCGAACTTCAGATCCTCGTCGTTGGGTACGACCACCCGTGGAGGATCATCGGGCTCCACCCAGTAAAAGAGGAGGCCATCATTCAACTCATATCGGTGGAGCCGTGAGCGCTGTTGCGACGAGAGCCAGTCGGACTTCGCGCTCGTTCCTGCCATAAGGAACTTGACGATAGGCGCGACAACCTCATCGCTCCGATGCGCCATGCGTATCCGATCATATAGATCCGTTGTCACCCGCGTGATGTGGGCCAACTCATAGTCAGGACGCCGACAGAGGGCGTCCGCAAGCACGTTGAGCTTGCCCGGCTTGTACTCGACGCGGAAGTTTTACTCCGCGAAGAAGGACAGCCACATCGCCGTCCTTTGGGAGAGGTGAGGCGAATTGGTCGCCGTCCTCAAGGACGCGTGGTCTGTGTAGATCACAAAGGGCCTAGAGCCCAGAAGGTGAACACGATACTTCACAAGGGCATATTTCATTGCCAGGAGCTCCTTGTCGTGGACAGGGTAGTTCCGCTCGGCGGCTTTGAGCTGCCTGGACTGGAACGAGATGACTCGTTCGTGTCCAGCCGTATCGGCCTACAGCAATGCACATCCGATGGCGTAATCGGAGGCATCGCAGACGACGCTAAACGGCTTCGTCTCGTCCGGCAGGGCCAGGACAGGGGCCTCTTGGAGACTGGCCTTGATGCTGTCAAAAACATCCTGGTGCTCTTGCTTTCAGCGCCAGTCGACGTCCTTCTGAAGGAGGCTCGACAAGGGCTTAGTGAAGCCCGTGTACCCTGCGCTGTACTTGTGAAGGCAGTTGGCCAAGCCCAACCACTTTCGAAGATCCTTCAGGGATCGGGGCGTCGGCCATGCTGCTATGGCCTTGACCTTGTCTGGGTCAGCCCGAACGCCCACGTTGCTTACGAAGCAACCGAGAACTTTAATCTCTGGTGACGCGAAAACGCACTTGTCGATGTTGGCGTAGAGCTTGTTCGCTAGCATTACGTCCTTCACTCGACAAAGGTGTCCTAGATGCACCTCCGTGGCCGTCTTGCCTCCCTCGGTACGGCTATGGACGAATATGTCGTCGAAGTACGTCTGTACGAAGGTACGCAAAGGGCGGAACAGCTGCGTCACCAGGTGATTGAACGTCGCCGGGGTGTTAGACAAGCCCTGCGGCATGACGAGCCACTCCCAAAGAATGCCGCTTGGAGTGCTTACCGCGGTGAGCGGGATGTCACTCTCCCGCATTAGGATCTGGTAGTATCTGTCTACCAAATCCAGCGCACTGTACAGTACGCTCCCGGTCATGCTGTTTAACAACACATCCTTTCGTGGGATTAGAGTTTGGGTTGGCACCGTTGCGCTGTTCAACTTGTTATAAGCGTGAGCCAGACGCCACTTTCCGTTCGGCTTCCGAACGCAGAAAGGCAGCGTCGAGTGCGGGGATTTCGACTCCCGCACCATGCCTGCCTTCGCTTTCGCGGCGAAGAAGGCACCAATGACCTCGCACTGTTCGCGCGGGAGAGGCCATTGCCTCGTGACACAATACTTTGTGCCGTACGACTCGATCCGGTGGGAGTTGGGTCGGTGGGTGTTTGTTCACGACGTCCGCATACTCCGTCACCAAAGGATACACTGGCTCCTTGGGGTTCTTAAAGATCTCAGAACCCAAGCGCGTCTGACGCTGCTTGTTTAGGTCTTCCAGGACGTTCTCGTCCAAGACCGAGGAGGAGTT